GTTCACTTTTAATTAATAGATCACGAAGCAAAGAGTTTGAAGCGTTTGGAGATGTATTTATAGTAGGCACGTGACGATTCCCACAAACCGCCTCGCCACGGTGAGTCGATTGTCCACGACTCGTTCCCAAATTTGCCTTCAAGAATCAAATCATCTTCAAGAAAAAATTCTTAAAGAATCAAATCATCTTCAACAATCGAATCATCTTGAACAATCAAATCTTAAAGAATCAAATCATTTTTCGATTTAAAGCTTTCGTGACTGCAAGGATTCATCTTCTTTGGTTCTTTCGGCAAAGTCACGTAGAATGAGAATAAAATAATAAATTGATAAAATAACACAATAATATTCTCACGACGTTTCGGCCACAACACAAGCGGCCTTCATCAGGTGAAGGGACGAGACTGTCTGGAGGACAGCGCTGTTTTTTTTTCACTCCAGCGCTGTCCTCCAGACAGTCTCGTCCCTTCACCTGATGAAGGCCGCTTGCATTGTGGCCGAAATGTCGTGAGAATATTATTGTGTTATTTTATTTTATCAATTTATTATTTTATTCTCATTCTACGTGACTTTACCGAAAGAACCAAAGAAGATGAATCAAATCATCTTCAAGAATCAAATCTTTAAGAATCAAATCATCTTCAAGAATCGAATCATTTTGTTTTGCTCCTGTGCTAGAATCCATAAAGGCGGGTTTCCACGAAACCAATCACATGCAATGTTCCAGAATCGATCCCCGCTCGCACAATTCAAAAACGCTGCACGTCGCAAGCCTCAGAGTCGATCCGCGTCGACTAATTGACGAACGAACCATAGCGTTATAACACTTTTGGGGTCGAGTGAAACAAGGCCCCAAGACTGGAGAAGAGTCATACACTACCAATGTGTCATTGCGAGGATCTGAAGAGCAGTGGGAGCAATGCACCGGAGCTGGCCTACACTGTGGCATTATAAAAAAAAGGCCCCAGACGTCGGGTCGAGTTGCGTTTGCACGTGCGGCCAAATTTAGCGTCCGAACGGCAGAAGGCCGGCAAACGGGTGGGGGGGAAGGCGGAGAAAGGTTCGAGGAATCCCAAAGCGCGGCTCGTCCGTGAAAAACGCGCAGCACGCGGGAGAGTCAGGCTGCCATCTACGCTGGACACCTGCAGCAAAATAAAAAAAACTTCATATCTCATGGGATTTATCTCGATTCCAATTCACCCTACGTGTCGCAGCAATTCTGCCGTCCAGACAAATCCGTTTTGGGGTGGTCCCGAATCAATTCAATTGATGTTTTATTGTTTGGATCGTCCTGTTTAAACAGTGTCATTTGTTCCTGAAGGTTAAGGCATTCCAAACGTACGCACAAAATGCTGAACAAATTGCCGATACGCCCGCAACTCGACGCAGGTGCCATGAGGCTATAACTCCAATTTTCATTGTTGCCTGTAACAATTCTCCCTTCTGGAGAGGCAATTTGAGTTGTCAAAATTTTGGATCGTTATTGAAGAATCAATATTTCACCCCCCCATTCTCAATAATGTAGTAGCCCTCCAGTGGCAACAGAGGTCAGTCGAACCCCGTTACGTACACAATACACTCACGTGGCATCACGTGCCACAGCGATTAAACCACACCTCGTTTTGTTACGAAGCGCGTGTAAGGTGTACGATTACGTATCCCAATTCAACGCATGCACCGTGTGCACGAGAATCGGATCTAATTGACGAATCGCCGCATCGTTTTACACCCCCTAGCCGGAATACCACGAAACGTTACGCGCCTATTTTACGCACGAGACATAAGTGCAGGAGTGGGAACATCGTGATGGTGCCACCTCTCTCTCTCTCAATAATTCCTTTTTCAATACGGCAGATTATAACAAGGAATACGGTTTGTCAAGAGGCGAGGGCTCCCCTCCCTGTGTAAACATTACACACCTGGCATCTACCTCCCTTATAATAGGATAAATACGGTAATACATTCTGGCTTAGCCGGCGGGAAACAAACGGACAACCGTAAGGACCCCATCCCAACCCCTCCCAAATAAAAGTCCCGTTTCAAATAAGTGTACTTTATAAAAACGTGTGGTTAATATTGTGATTATTTTAGTTTCTTTTTTAACGATTACTATTGTACTATACGGATGCATACGAATGCCCAGCTCCTGTAAGGTGGTGAATGTACAGCAAATTAACTCTTCACAACGCGTCGCCAACATGATGTTCATGTCGTCCCGACGTCATTTTTTGGACAAAAATCGCCAAGGTGAAGGCGTGCCCCCCCCCCCCCGACGCTTTCAAGAGCCAAGGTTTTACAACTAAACTAAACCATTTTTATTTATTTTATCAGGTAAGGCTATATAGATATTTTTCAGAAGCGACCTGGCCATCACAAATGATAGCTCAACGAAGTGGCTCATCATCACGTGGAAATGTACAGCAGCCATATACTCAGATCTGCCAAAAAAAAAACCCGCAGTGCCAGGCAGCCAGTTTATCATCCACACACCGGATCACCTCAACTGCCAAAGCATTACATCTCTACTCACTGAACTCTCCACCTTGCTCCATTCATTCATGCTCGACCCATCGCTCACGTGGGAATAATCAAAGGAATCAGCGAATGTAACTCACGCGCCCCGTCTCTCTCCGTCACTTGCTGCCACGTAAAATACCGCTGCCGACAATTTAGCAAAGCGGTAAATCGGTGGTCCCTGACTGTATCCGCAACATCGCACTGCCCCCCCAAAATGTAGCGGTAGAATTTTGGGTCAACTGCAAATAACCTTAACTCCCCCACAATTCAACGCAACTATAGTGAACATAAACATCGATTTTAATAAATTGATGGGGTTGTTACTTGCCTTATTTGCCTTTTCTCCTTGAACGGGTCATTGCCACCTCTGGCGCTAAACATGATTTTTTAAGACTGGCAGTAATTACTTACTCCACTGCTTGTTATGCCCCGCCCACCGCACGGGGCCAATTATGGCTAAGTTAACGTCAACCACTGCTGAGGTTGCTGCTGCAGCTGCTGCTGCTGCTCCTCTGCTGCCCTCCACTGTCCGAAACCCCATCCCCTTACCGGCAACTCCCTCACCCCGTTCGTCGGTCCCTTCTACCCCTTTTCCACTGGCACATCCGGTCAGAGCCCCGCCAGCGTGCAGCCCATCACGGTACGGTCACGTTTTCGACTGCCGTGTGAGCGTCTGCCATCGTCGCGAGTATAGCTTTCTCAGGATTCAACCCCAAAAAGTTCGGCACGCCTCAAAATATCGGTCCACGCACCGGGAGGAATTTGACGAACTGCAGAATCCACTTCCGTCTATTTGCCACAGCCTAGACGAAGCCAAGCCGTTGAAACTCTGGCCGAGGACGGACGTCTGAATTTGGCTCCTGGCCAAAACGGAGCCAGGGGGTTGTAGCCTCATCGTTTTCACAACTGCGGTGTGAACTTTGCGGCACGGCTCGGCTTCTGCGGTGGAAAAACTGGCGCCTCCTGAGCCTCGCCGCCGGGCTGGCTCGGCATCACCCTGGCACGGCTCAGTTGTGCAGTGGCAAACAAAAATATGAAAAAATATTTTCTTTTTTTTCTTTTATCATGTATAGCCCACTGAGCTACACGGCTCTTTTTCAGAAGCAGCCTGACCACAAATGACAGCTCAACAAAGTGGCTCATCATTGTGTCGAACTTTATAGCAGCCAAATATGACAAAACGCACGTTGATTCGAAATATGGGAGGGAAAAACAGGAGGACCCGGAGAAAAATCCACGGAGAGAGGCACGCAAACTCCAAATATACAGCAGGCGTCAGGGGTCGGGATCAAACCCGCGTCCTCCTGTATACCAGGCGAGGCGGTCAGCATCTCGCCACCGTGGCGCCATGCTTCCTAAGATCCTCGCTTGAGGAAGGTGAAGGTGGTGCTGTTCTATTGTGCCCTTGATATCTCCACCCGCCCGCTACCTCACCCCCTGGCTCCTTGCGTACGACAGTGCTCGGCGGAAAACTTCCATCGGCGAGAATTGTAGGGATAAATATGGCATCACTCGAGGTCTTCCAGGGCTAGCGGGGGGCGGGGGGTTAAGCCGGACTGTGGTAGGGTGGGGGGACAAATTCTGAAAACGAGGAATGTGTTTCTCAAACTTAACGCAGCCGACTATTTCCGAGTTTCACACTCGGAAAAGGCGGCAAAAAAAAAAGGACCGCTGTCCCGACGGTTAATTAACGTGAAAGCGGTGAGAAACGTCGTAAAAAGTATGCTCGTTAGGGGGGGGTTCAAATAAGCGACCGACGCACATGCGGATGAGGGGACGCAGTTGGAGAGACGGGATGTTATGACTGGCGCTGGGGCTAGGGAGCTTAGGTTACGATTGGTCATTAGAGCTATGATTAGAGTTGGGGTTAGGGGTAAGGGTTATGTTAAGGTCAGGGTTATGGTCAGAGTAACAGTTTTGGTTACAGTCAGATATAGGGCAAATGTTAGGGCTACAAAAGTAATGACTCGGGTTGAGGTCAGTATTATAACTAACGATAACAGTTGGGGGAGGTTTCAAGTTGTAGTTCGAATTAGATTCTTGTTAAAAAGTGTGGGCTGTGGTCCAGGTGAGCACTTGGCTTAGGAGGTAGGGTAATGGTCCGGTAAAGGTAAGGATCAAAGCCATGGTCGACGTTGCTTCTAACCCCACCGCACCTAACTGCTCTCTGGGTCCACCTGCGCTCGAATTTTTACTTTCCCCCAACCGCTGTCTGCCCCCACCCCTAAGTGCCAACGTTAAGAGCATCTTTCGCAAACTGCATAGAAATCCCACCGTTGGCATCACACACAAAGATTCCCCGGTCATATAGACTTAACAGACTGTTGGGGCATCACACACACACACACACCCCCAGACACACCTGCGCGCACGCACGCAAGCCCGCAGGCATGCGCGCACACACATACGCACAGCAGCACACACGCCAACAGTTGCGCGCACACACGCACCCACACCACCCCAAAGGAGGACCGAGGCAGGAATTTTGGTGAATATACCAATTTTGATTTCTCTTCACCATGGCAGGGACTAAAGGTTGGCGAGTTGGGGGTGGGGGGTGGGTTGCGAGGGACCGTAGCTATCCGTCACCGCAGCTCTAATAGGCGCCCCCCCACCCAACACATTCCAGACTGCGCATACCCCCCCCCCACCCGCCGCCCCCAATCGACTCTAAAAGGAGTTCCGCAAAAATATATATATAACAGCTATGTATAATAAACACAAAACCGAATAGGTTCAATCGAAAAATACAAAATACGCGAGAGCGACGGCAATCGAAATACATCTTGCGGGGCTTTCTGCTCAATCAGTGGAACGGCTCTGGCCGCTTCCAGGGCGCAGCGTCCCCAGGTTCACTCGACCGCGGGCGCGTTGCCGGCGGTGGCTCTCGGTCTAGTGTTGGTGCACGGCTGTGCCGCACCCCCACCCCCACCCCCACCCCCCCCTCCCCGCTAAGTATGGTGCACAGCCCCGGCAGTACGGCCTACAGCTCGGCAGTACAGTGTATAGCCTGGCATATAGCCCGGCAGTACGGCGTAAAGCCCGGCAGCGAGGGCCGGGGTCGAACAGAGGCAGCTGGCGGGGGATGGGGGGGGCACTAGATGGGGTTCTTGAGGATGCGTCCGAGACGGAAGTCGTAGACGCGGCGGCACAGGTAGACGAGGCTGGGGTTGGCGCGGTCCGGCAAACAGCGGTGGGGGGGGGCTACGCGTGCCGGCAGCGCCGGCACCACGCCTGCCGAGGGTCTCGCCAACGGGCTTGCCCGCCGCCCAGACTCCTCGCGCTGGCGAACCTCGGCCTGGAACCTGCGAGCGCGGGTTGGTTGGGGAGCGGGAGAGCGAAGGGCGAACGTGGTTAGACGTGGCGGGGGAAGGGAGAGAAGGAAGAGAGGAAGGACGGCAGGGAATAGCAGGGTAGGCGGGAGAGGATGGAAGGTAGGTGGGCTGAGAGACAGGAGTGGGATGTGTTTTGTTTTTGTGTTTAGTTTGTTGCCCTCATTGCACCGCACCGGTCTACACGTCGCATCGCATTGCACCGCACTAGTCTACACATTGCACTGCACCGCACTAGTCTACACATCGCATTGCATTGCACCGCACTAGTCTACACATCGCATTGCACTGCACTAGTCTACACATCGCATTGCACTGCACTAGTCTACACATCGCATTGCACTGCACTAGCCTACACATCGCATTGCACTGCACCGCACTAGTCTATACATCGCATTGCACTGCACCGCACTAGTCTATACATCGCACTGCACTACACCGCACTAGTCTGTACATCGCATTGCACTGCACTAGTCTACACATCGCACTGCACTACACCGCACTAGTCTACACATCGCACTGCACCGCACTGCACAAGTCTATACATCGCATTGCACTGCACTAGTCTATACATCGCATTGCACTGCACAAGTCTACACATCGCATTGCACTGCACCGCACAACGCAATGGTCTACACATTGTATTGCCCTACACAACACACCTTATGGCACACGGCACCAAACTGCACTCTGCCCCACCTCCGATTAGCACGGGTTGACTATGTAAGGCGCGAAAGAAGTTCGACACACGTACCCCATACATAGTGAATGGATAAAATGGGGTCGACTTATAAGGGAACACAGAGCGAGGGAGAGATAAAAACGGGATAGACGTTGTCCAGACGGTCAGGCGAGGTGGGCACGCGTTGTGGGGTTGCGAAGAGCCACCTGCAGTACTCGAGGTAGGTGAGCACATAGCACTTGTCCTCGATGCAAGCCACGCTGTTCTCGTCCTGGTGTCGCGAAGCAAACACCTCGTTCTGTGGGGGGCGAAGGGGAAGCGGAAGGTGGTGGGGGATGGGGATGGCAATGCGTCGGCCGCGGCGTATAAACGTGCAACTTTCCCCCGGCCCCCCTTCGTGTCGTCTGTTTCGGGGTTGTTGTTACCGCGCGCGCCGGGGCCGATTTTTCTTGGGGGGGAACTGAAAAGAATTCTGGGGTGGGATCGGTGACGAGAAGAAGCTCTCGGCGCGTGGTGGCGGTGTGGTGGGCGAAATGTCACGACGACGGCAAAACAACCGCGCGGCGCGAAGACGCGACGGAGAGAGACGTAGGTACGGCAGCGCCGTGAAACGCTACAAGGCCCTTCGGTCGCAATCTCCACCGCACATGGGCCCCGGAGAGAGAGGCTCCTGCGCGCGCTCAGCGCACAATGGAAGGAGATGCAGCGATACTGGGGGCATGACGGTGAAGGCGGCTGTACGAGTCGCAAGTGAGAAGGAGGAACAGCGCAAGGTCGAGTGCGGGGAGAGTGCGTGGAGGAAGAGTGGAGAGGAAGGGAGAGTGAAGGTGGAGGGAGAAAGAGAGAGGAGGAAGATACATAGGGAAAGTAAAAACGAGAGAAAACTAAACTATTTAACCGCCACTTTTTTCAAATTTTCTTGCTGTGGTTTTCACACCTGATGATGTTGCAGTCGAAATGTCGTGCGAATTTTCTTGTTTTATATTTTTATAATTTTATTGTTTCCCTTCTACATGACTTTACCGAAAGAACCAAGAATATTTACGAAACGGTTTTTATTTTACCAGGTAAAGCCCACTGAGCTACAAAGCAATTTTTCAGAAGCGACCTGCCCATCACAAACGATAACTCAATGTAAACAAAATACTCAAAACGCGTGATATTGATTCTAAATGTGGAGGGAAAAACCGGAGGACCCGGAGAAAAATCCACACGACCACCACGGGCAGAGACACGCAAGCTCAAAATATACAGCAGGCGTCAGGGTCGGGATGGAACCCACGACCTCCTGTATACCTCGTGAGGTAGTTTACATCTCCTAGCCAATGTAATGATGATGAGGGAGAGACGCAAACTCCAAATATACAGCAGGAGTCAGGGTCGGGATCGAACCCACGACTTCCTGCATATCAGGCGAGGCAGTTAACATCTCCTAGCCACCACGGCAACAGGAGGCGAGAGGACCAACAAGGGGGGTGGGGGACACAGAAGGCAGAGAGAGAGAGAAAAGAGAGTGGGGGAAAGCGTCAGCTAAGGAGAGAGTGCAAGGGAGAGAGACAGGGTAGATAAGGGAGAGCATAGAGAGGAAGAGGGAGGTGGGGGGGGGAGGTGGTGGGTAGGGTTGGTGAGGGGAGGGGGGGGGTGCTGTACCTCACAGTGCTGGCCAGGAACCCTGCCACCCTGCGTGTGCTCGGGGCGGTAGTACCACAGCAGACTCATGGTGAGCTCCCCTGCACACACAGCACCACAATTCCCCCATTAAAGCCTTGCACGATGCGATGAGCACGGTTGCGTATGTCGGGTGCGAAAGAACTTCAACATACACACCCAACGTAAGAGCAATCCTCAACGGCAGAAAAGCACACAATGGTGTGTGGGTTAATTTGTGGCTCGCCTAGTTTCGCTGTGGCTATAGCACCAGTTTAGCGGTCACGACAGTACCGGTTTAGCCGTGGTTATTGCACCGGATTATTCCCGTTAGTCATGGCCACCGCACCTGTTTTGGGGTCGTCCCACAGCGCCGAGATCTTGGCGACGTACGGCAGGCACTTGCGACGAGGCCCCGACCGCAGCAGCACGCAGTCGCGCACCGCGATGATGTCACCGCCGCGTCGGACGGCGCCGTAGCAGCGCCTCGGCACCAGCTCCAGCTCGCCCTACTCCCCAACAAAGGCACGGACCACACTGCGGTCATCACTGCAGCAGCAGTGGCGGCTTTTGGCGAAGCAATTGAACAAAGACGGCGGCCGCGTCGCGTGCTTTCAAGATGCGCTTCCGCGGCCGTCTGGGACGCTCTTCCTTCTGATACTAGGAAGCCACTCAAGCTGTGCACTTTTAAATCATTATCTAGATTGCCAAACTCATTTCTTTAGAACTGCTTTATCCGTTTAGATTATTGTCCTTTCCCCGTACCTCCGATGAGCAAGGTTGCCTACGTACGGTGCGACAGAAGTTCAACATACATGCTCTTGCAGGGGGAGGACGTGGCAATTTTCAGGAAATGCAGAGTACAGATCGTTCTCCTATAACGTCGCGTGTTGCTTTCATAACGCAAATTGGATACAACGCAACTAATGTACTTGGGAACGCATTTTTGTTATAACGCGGATGCAAATTGGATATAACGCGATTGAGTGAATGGGACTACGTCGCGCGAGTAGGACTAAGCGGTTGTGCGGCTGCCTCGGCGTAGCATCGCACGAGGCGGGATGCTGCTGGATGCTTCTCGATGCTACCCACGCGCCTCAGTCTTTGTTCGGCCCGCGTACGCATCTCACCCGTTATCGCGGACTGTGTTTTACCCTATATTATATATTACCCATTATAACGAGATTTTTCCACAGCGCGGTGGAAAAATACCGCATTACAGGAGAACAGACTGTAGGTGTGCCAAGCGTTTAAAAGGCAAGCGAGACCAAGGAGGGTAGGTAACAAAAGTCCTGAATTCAATTACAATGCTGTCGTTCATAACATATCGCAATTTCAACATTATTGTAATTTAGACCAATAAATCTGTTGCTCCAATCGTAATTAAAAGTGAACCAAGGTCATGATCATGAATCGCATCGAAGCGTGCACGCGCGGAAAATTATAAGTTTATTCAAATCGATGTCATAGCTGCCAACGCACACGGCTCACCCCGTATTCTTGTACAGGGAAATTGAGTTTTCATGTCCATATGGCGCACAGCCGTTTCAATAGGGGACTTTGTAGGATGAACGTTGAGATTTATAAGAGCACGGGGTGACCAATAAGGTCAGAATTGGTCTGTAATAAGGTAGGCACTGATAAGGGGATTGACAGGTATGCGATATTGCATTTAGTTATACTGCAATTGAGTAGATGGCACTGCACACAACAACAAAAAAAAGATCTAATTGCTTGCTCACAAGAATTCTGTTTTTGCAAAAATGTGAAATTACTCAACTGACTTTAATGGAAAGCGTTGTTATTTCTTCATAGCGGAAGCCCAGTCAATGTGCATGTGTGCAAGTAAATGATGCATAGACAAAGCTCCCCCGTGTAGCCTTAACAGACTGTTGGGGTAAAGGGCCGTTAGCGAGCACCTATGAAGGCCGGCACGGCACACGAGGGGGTGGGTGGCCAGCACCACGCCCGGCCGCCTTTGTCTCCCCAGTGGCGATGTTTACTACACATCGCACAAGGTATGCATTTGAGGCTGAGTCGACCTAGGGGAGGCCCCAGGACTGGTTCAAATATTCGTCACTGGTGTTGGCTGTGAGGGGGAAACGAATTGGGGACACCGGGTTCGTAGCGGAGCGCACTAACCGCTACGCTACCTGCTGCGGTGTGTAAAACATCGCCACTTGGGAGACAAAGGCGGCCGGGCGTGGTGCTGGCCACGCAACTCCTCATGAAGGCCGGCACGGCACACAGGTGCTACTCGCTAACAGCACTTGCCCCAACAGTCTGGTGTAAGCCTATTAAGGGGGATCTTTGTCTTGATGTGGCCTCAAAGTGCACCTGGTATGGCACAAACGCTGTCATGGCGTCACCAGTCGTGAATGGCGGTTCTTGTTGTGCGTGTGTGGGTTGCGCGTGGGTGCGCGCGAGGTGTTCTGTGGGGTGAGCGTGGGTACGTGTGGGTGCGTGCGAGGTGAGTAGGCGTACCGCCACATAGACGGCCTTCTCGTAGGCCTCCCCGACTGGCACCCAGCCGTTGGTCTGCCTCCGTGCCGTGTAGCTCAGCGCCACCTCGCACACCAGAGATGCCGCCGACGCTGCCGCTGCCGCAGCGCCCCTCGCTCCCCGCATCGCACCTTGCGAGCCCCGCTTGTCCGCACCCCGGCCGGCGCCCGCCCTACTACCGCCGCCGGCCGGTACGAACAACAGCCCGGTGCCCGGGTGGTTCCGGCAGCCCGGTGACGGCAGCTCTGGGTAGGGGCTGGCAGGGATCGACCGTGCCGGGTACAGGGCCAACGGCCGCGGCAAACCCGACGCCGGGCGGGCACTGGGGTGCCGCGCCTGCGCCGCACGGCAGCCGTAGCCGCTGTGCTCCTCCTCATTGTCCTCGGTGTCCTCGAGGTGCGAGTGCTGATGTTTGTGTTGGTGGTGGTGATGCTGGTGGTGGTGGTGCCGGTGGTGCTGCTGGTGCCGACGATGGCGGTGGTGGTGCTGGTGGTTCGTCCGCCTGCCGTCGGAGCTGCCGTTGGCGCGCGTGCCGTAAATGATGGACTCTGCGTGCGGCAGCTTCACCAGGCAGACGCGCGCCGCCCGCGGGTCCACGGCACTGCCAACCGCCGCCTTCCCCACCGGCCCCGCGCCGGCGCCGGCCTCCTCCCCGACGCGGCACCCGCACCCGCACCCCCACTCGCAGCAGGGCTCGCACGGCGCGTACGACGGAGCGGCGCTCGCCGACAGACGTGGAAACCGCACCGGCGACTGCCGCTCTCCGGCGTGGCTGGCGCCCGCCCTGCCGGCGCCGGCCGAACCCGGGTTGGCGCGCGTCGCCCGCCCGCCCCGCCCGGCCGGCCTGCACGGCTTCGCCGGGGCAACGACCAAGGGGCCTGGATCGGAGCGGGAGCGCACGAGCTCGCGGCCACTCACGCCGCTGGCACGGCGTGGGCGCTTGCGCTGACTCGCGGCGCCGGCGTTCTTAGCTGTTCTGTTGCCACGGGCGTCATTACCGCCGCCGCCGCCCCCGGCGCCACGCCGCTTTGGCGCCATCCCCCCGCGGCCTCCGCGGCCGCAGCCCCCCGTCGCGCCAGCGCTGTCCAGGCTGCACTGACGGCGGCTGCGCTTGGCCGGCGGTTTCGCCGACGACGATGACGCCGCCGCCAGGTTCGGCAGGTCGCGCTCCAGGAGGGCGCTGACGAGCGCCTCGGCGTTAAGACTCGCCAGACGGCGCTTGCGCGGCTCGAAGTAGAAGTGACACGGAAAGAGGTTCCAGGGGCTCGGCTTGAGAACGAGGACGTCGCCCTCGGCGCCGTCGGCGCCGCCGGTGCCGCCATCGCCGGCGCCGCCTGCCGATCGTCCGCCACCCGGTTCCACTGCCGCGCCCTCTGGGGCCGCCTCGCTCGGAGGCCCTCCTGCACCAGTGGACGCGACGGCCATGGCCGTCGTTTTCCCAGGGCGCCAGGACGCGTTCCGCGCGCCGCGCCCGCTCGCCGCGGTGGCCGTGGCGGTGGCGGCAACGGTGGCCGGCGCGGGCGAGGCCGTGGAGGTGGCCGTGGCGGCGGCGGGGGTGCGGCGCGGCGGCGCGGCGCGCCGGGCCGCTGGCGCCGTGGTGTGGCACGGCGGGGCCTCCAGGCCCAGCATCACGTCGCGCGTGCGCTCAGTGCCGGCGCTGGCGGCGCTCCCCGCCAAGCTCTCGGCGAACTCCAGGCCGGGGGCGTAGTCGCCGACGGAGGTGGCGGCCGCCGGGGCCGCGCCGCTCCTCTCGTCGCCTTGGGGAGGGGGCCCCTCGCCCCCCCAGCCTGTCTCGCCGGTTGTCATGGAGACCGGGCAGTGCTGCAGCGATGCCATGCCTCATAGGAATCTGAAAGAACCGGCAAGGGGGTTTGCGGGCATAGGTGAAGAGCGTTCACGCGAACGTGTAGTAACGGCGACTTGGTATTTACGGCTGCCCCCTCCGGGGAGCAGCGGCTGCCCCCCCCAGGGAGCAGCCGCTACCCCAGCCAGGGACCTCCGGCTGCGCTGTCCTTTGGCCCTTCGGAGCACGGTTGCTGCTGGAGGCGAGACGCAGATTTGCACCTCGGTGGCAGAACAAACGCCGCACCCTCTCTTCCCCTCCCCGCCAAAGAGAAGGGAGTGCGCGGATCGCTCACTTCTTAAGATGCTCGCTCCTCGCACCTCCCTGCACGTACGCTGCCATGCGGCGAGTCAATTGGAGCACACCGGGGCTAGTGCTGACGGCTGTTTTGTCAGCGCTGTTCCAAGCTTTCGATTAGGCTGTGCCAGCACTGCACTGTAAGCGGTCGATGGTGCTTCCATAGCGGGATAATTTTTGTTACGTCCCTTGTGGCGCTAGTTCTTAGAAGCTTCTAAAAACCATCATGCTCTGGGCACCTCGCTCAAAAAACACGAAAACGCCGGGGACAATAGTGGAGGAGCCAAGTGATGTGGGGGTGGTGCATCGCAACCTGTTTCTAAGAATAATTAAATAACTAGCATGTATGCTATTAAACTATGTTTTATTTAACTCGGTAAGGCCCCACTGAGCTATGTGGCTCTTTTTCAGAAGCGACCTGGCTATCACAAATGGTGTCTCTACGAAGTGGCTTGTCGTCACGTGAACATTTACAGCAGCCAAATACTCTAAACGCGTGGGACGTTCATTCTAAACGTGGAGGGATGAACCGGAGGATCCGGAGAAAAACCCGAGCGACCCCCATGGGGAGAGAGACACGCAAACTCCAAATATACAACAGGCGTCAGGGGGTTGGGATCGAACCCACGATCACCTGCAGACCAGGCAAGGTAGTTAACATCTCGCCACCGTTGGCGCCCATAGGTGCCCGGCCACAGATCTATTTGCGATGAACTGGGAAGTGTCGGGCGGCCACCATGTATGATCATTCTATTCAATTCTTTCCAGGGTGCTACATATAAATCCTTTGGCGGACCACACCTTAACGGTCACCTAGCATGCTCCGATAAAACAAAAACATCACTAGACCTCTCACCTTACCTGCTGAAGCGACCAAGCCCGCTAAAAATGCAATACAGTGATGATGCCGGGTCAAAAAACATTTCCCTCCGTTATTTCCAATTTTTGGTGTGGCCAAGACGCTTTTACAGTGACAAGATGAATATCGTTTGTGGGCCATTGGAAAGTGGTAGGCCTCGTGTTGGCCGCGGGCCGTGTAACATTAAGTTGCGGATCACATGAAATTAAAGAAGCGGCCCTAATCTGGTCACCTCCGACTATAAGTGGACGAACACCCAAGGATGGATTGGGGGCTCAATTATCCTTTTTGCAGGCGATTAGTCACCATCAGAGGTCTTGGGTTTGAGCCACATGCAAACTACCAGTTACTAGTAACGAAAGGGCATTTAGGTTGATTATGCTAGAGTTGTTACCAGAGATGAACATTTCTACATTGAAGTAAAGCTGACGACGATATAATTACCGACTAAAGAATGGGACGAACATGTCATGTTCGAAGAAGAAACAGTAAAAACGGACGACACGTTCTTTATCTCCACCCCATTCCAAGCAGATAAACAACAAATAGTTTTAATCCGCAATTTATGTACTTTTGCATCCGCCCCCCCCTCCCCCCCAAGTGCATGACTTGCTTTAACAACTCTTCACGATCATTCATTTTTACTTCACGTGGACTGCCCTCAATCCACCACTGGTCGAGGACTTAACCCCAGGGGTGTTAGACCAGTGGCGCGTTGGTGCAGGTGGGGAGCAGATGAGGGAGCTTAGAAGTACAGTACAATGGATTTTACTTCTCTGCCCTCCTAACGCGCACCACGTAGCCCCACAGCCCATGGGTGTTAAATACTTTCAGAAGCATTCCCTCCTCTACATATATTTCTCATTATTTCTGAGCCCACATGCCAAAATCAAAAAGATCCTGAAGAAGGCGTCTTTATAAGCACCAACATTGCCTAATGTCCCCCCATGTAAAATCCCTTGCCGTAGGAATCTTAGGAAACAACCTCAATGATAACTGCCTAAATTGCCTGCACTCGATTCTAGATTTAAAGCTTTCGTGACTGCTAGGATCCATACTCTTTGGTTCTATTGGGTAAAGTCACGCAAGTGAAAATAAAATAATAAAAAATCACGACGTTTCAGCCACAACACAAGCGGCCTTCATCAGGTGAAGGGACGAGACTGTCTGGAGTGATCTAAGCGTGGCTTCTTCCACTCCAGCGCTAATTCCTTTGTCAAGGGGTACCTCTGCGGATGTGTATACTTTAACTTAGCTATTTCAATGAGCCATTACAATGCTAAATTATATGCTAATTCCTTTGTCAAGGCGCGTGGTATTTTTCTTGTCACACAGCTTAAAGGACGTGATCTAAGCGTGGCTTCTTCCACTCCAGCGCTGTCCTCCAGACAGTCTCGTCCCTTCACCTGATGAAGGCCGCTTGTGTTGTGGCCAAAACGTCGTGATTTTTGGCTATTTTATTTTCACCTACGTGACTTTACCCAATAGAACCAAAGAGTATGCCTGCACTCGACCAACCAAAGTCCCAAAAAACTAAATTTATCAATAACACAATCACGATATTTTAAAAAAGAAACATGCGAGCCTATAAAACGTATCGATGACATTAACCGGTCTTTTTATTTAACCGGTTGGTCTTCAGTCCCCAATTTAAATGTGACAGAATCTGCCTGGCCCCTTATCAAGAAGAGAGTTTCTGGATGTTAATTACTTGCATATACCCCTAAAGAAACCAAAACAAATAAGAATAACCCCCCTGGGGTTCACTTCCGAACGAAGCCACCTCCGCTGGCAAAGAAATAAAATACGGACGATTGTAAGGAAATAAAAATCCTCCTGCAGCTCGCCTAAAATTTAGAAAACTCCGTAATAAGTACTGGCCGGTCCGTGTAAAAAAATAGTGTCAAAGCCCATTGGATTCCTCCAGAGTTAAATAAAGATTCTGATAAGCGTACATCTAAAACAAAAAAGGGTCAAATCAGAATTATTTGAAAACAATTATAAATAGCTCCAAAGACAATCCTCCAAAAAACGTCTCCCATAAAATATTTTAGAACTTTACTAATCAACGGTTCCCTGTTCATCTTTTTATAATAGAAGTTAACACATTCCTTACACTTTTAACAAACATTTTGTACAAACATAAATACCTTTTTAAACGAGTAATCTTTCATCAGTTCATGCCACCCATCCTAACACCACATACAACCCCCAATACAGTGAGGGAAAAAAATATTTGATCCCCTGCTGATTTTGTACGTTTGCCCACTGACAAAGAAATGATCAGTCTGTAATTTTAATGGTAGGTTTATTTGAACAGTGAGAGACAGAATAACAACAACAAAATCCTGAAAAACGAATGTCAAAAATGTTATACATTTATTTGCATTTTAATGAGGGAAATAAGTATTTGACTCCCTCGCAATCAGAAAGATTTCTGGCTCCCAGGTGTCTTTTATACCGGTAACGAGCTGAGATTAGGAGCACACTCTTAAGGGAGTGCTCCTAATCTCAGCTTGTTACCTGTATAAAAGACACCTGTCCACAGAAGCAATCAATCAGATTACAAACTCTCCACCATGGCCAAGACCAAAGAGCTCTCCAAGGATGTCAAGGACAAGATTGTAGACCTACACAAGGCTGGAATGGGCTACAAGACCATTGCCAAGCAGCTTGGTGAGAAGGTGACAACAGTTGGTGCGATTTTTCGCAAATGGAAGAAACACAAAAGAACTGTCAATCTCCCTCGGCCTGGGGCTCCATGCAAGATCTCAGCTCGTGGAGTTGCAATGATCATGAGAACGGTGAGGAATCAGCCCAGAACTACACGGGAGGATCTTGTCAATGATCGCAAGGCAGCTGGGACCATAGTCACCAAGAAAACAATTGGTAACACACTACGCCGTGAAGGACTGATATCCTGCAACGCCGGCAAGGTCCCCCCTGCTCAAGAATGCACATATACATGCCCGTCTGACATTTGCCAATCAACATTTGAATGATTCAGAGGACAACTGGGTGAAAGTGTTGTTGTCAGATGAGACCAAAATGGAGCTCTTTGGCATCAACTCAACTCGTCGTGTTTGGAGGAGGAATGCTGCCTATGACCCCAAGAACACCATCCCCACCGTCAAATATGGAGGTGGAAACATTATGCTTTGGGGGTGTTTTACTGCTAAGGGGACAGGACAACTTCACCGCATCAAAGGGACAATGGACGGGGCCATGTACCGTCAAATCTTGGGTGAGAACCTCCTTCCCTCAGCCAGGGCATTGAAAATGGGTCGTGGATGGGTATTCCAGCATGACAATGACCCAAAACACACGGCCAAGGCAACAAAGGAGTGGCTCAAAAAGAAGCCCATTAAGGTCCTGGAGTGGCCTAGCCTGTCTCAAGACCTTAATCCCATAGAATATCTGTGGAGGGAGCTGAAGGTTCGAGTTGCCAAACGTCAGCCTCGAAACCTTAATGACTTGGAGATCTGCAAAGAGGAGTGGGACAAAATCCCT